AAGACTTCCAAGTGCGGCTGTCATAGACCATTCCCATGCTCTATGTCAGCCTCCCGACTCGACTGTAAGACAGGGTAAATATTCGAGACGACACTCAAGAGGCTGGTTGTCCCGATCCACCCCGTTATGCTGCTGAGCCTCATCACTGGGGTACTCGCCCTTGTACCTGGAAACGCTTTGGCTGGGCTTGTACAGAAGCCGGGTTTGGCTTTACCTACGAGAGCTTTTACAGATAGGGAGGTGGTTAGGCAAATGCATAAGAGGAGTTATGATGCATATAGGTGAGCCGCCATTTTTCTATGCCATGTCCTAGCCTCTCATAACCAGCGAAACCCGCTTATAAGGAAGTATGCATTTGGACATGACGACTTGAGGCCTTTGTCAAAGAGTACGTACCACTTGGCCTCTGGCACTTTGGGATGGAGGTTGAATCGAGTTAGCTTTCGCGGATACGAGAAATGGATGGGGTGCATCGATCATCGACGCGCTTACTACCAATGTCCGTCTTCCTTTGCTCTGGGAATCGAAGAAGCTAAAACCTCGCCGTTGCAGATCATCATGAACTTCACTGTCTGTGCGTTCTCCTTCAATGGCGGGTGTGAGCTTATGCGCCCACACAGGATTACGTCGATGAGGCTATCAAATTCGCAAGTAATATCGACTTTTCCAGGTCAAAAACGGATAGCTCAGTCAGCGTCTTCGAAACGACCATTCGCTATGTTGGCGGTTTATTGAGCGCATACGAGCTGAGTGGCAATCAATACCCAGTATTAGTGAAGAAGGCGCAAGAGGTCGCGGATAAGTTATTATATGCGTTCTCTGACGTGAGTGGGTATCATTTTGCGTACACCTCGGGAAAATGACGCCGTGAAGCAACACCCCATTCCGCATGGATACGTGGATTTTTCTACGAATGAACCAGATCTCAGTCGCCTCATTGTAAGCATTCTGAATATGCTTTCCTCATGTGAGCTGAAAAATATTTAGACCAATATAGCTGAAGTAGGAACGGTAAGCGCAACATATATCGTTTGGCCTGACTGTTTCGAATTGTCACAGCTCACACTAGAGTGGTCCGTATTGTCGAAATATACGGCCAATCCGATATATAGGACCCTCAGCGAACAAGCGGTCATTCATATCGCCAATAATGTGAGCTGTGTGGTGCTAGACCTACGACCACTGTGATGTTAATCGGTTGAATTCCTAGGCAAAACCTCTTCCAGGCCTTCCAGCACAATTGATAAACCCGGCTAGCGGAGAGCCTATAAACGGCTATGTCGTGCGTATTTCCTCGTACTTGAACAGGGCATCGAAACTAAATATCAGGATAGACCTGGGGTGGCGGGTCAGACAGCTATCTCGAGTACTTGATAAAGTACCCTCGCCTCTCTCAGACGGATAACTCTGTGTTCGTAAACAATTGGGTCACAGCGGTGGATTCGTCCATTACGCATCTAGCGAAGGTATGGATATCGAGGGGGTTCAACTTAGCGTGTATGTATTGACCAGCTGGCAGAGGACAACCATTGGGAATCACCTCTACCTTGGCGATATTAATGATTCTGGGGAATTCCTTCATGTTGGTTCGCATCTGGCCTGTTTTTATGGGGGGAATTGGATTCTAGGTGCGTTTTAACCATTTTAACCCACGAACATCACTAAACCCATATCAGGGGGCCGCCTCTTGGACAATGATACGATCGTTCAGTACGGGCTCCAATTAACCGATGGATGCTGGAATACATATGAGAGCACTGCGTCAGTTGGTTCCCTCATGATCAGAATGTTACTAGCTTTACTCACCACCATGATAGCACGGGAATTGGACCAGAAGCGTTCGCCTTCAAATCCGAAGACGGGGACTACATTGGCTATGACTATGCTGGCAACCGTATGGAGCCAGATAGTTCACAAGAATCCTTCTATGACAAGAATGGTTACTACATCACTCAAAGTTCTTACCTCCTTCGCCCGGAGGTGTTGGAGAGTAACTTTTATGCCTGGCGAGCAACCGGAGATTCCAAGTACTATGAACGAGCCCTTGCGGCTGTAGGTAGTATGAAGAAGCACCTAGCGACCGATGAGGCGTACGCAGGTATTCAAGACGTGAATAATGCGACATCGGCCAAGAATGATCATATGGAGAGTTTTTGGTTCGCAGAGGTTTTGAAATATCTGTGTGTGCGCCTTGACTGCCGAGAGTTTGAGCAAAACTCACGCCCCCTTTAGGTATTTGACGTTTGACGACCCAAATCATATCAGTCTGGATGAATGTAAGGCCTACGCTCCTGTTACGTTTCCATTTGGTCAACTGATCTATGCCTTCATAGATGTCTTTAACACCGAGGCCCACCCACTGAAAGCACCCCTCGCAAAGGGAAAAGTTGCTTCACCGACTATCCTTCCACCAGGGCCCCAATTTGTGGCTCAGGGAGTCGACGAGGATACGCCGTTGCCAGAGATTAGCCCGATTTCCTTCGAAGTCGAGGAGTGGGTGTAGATTGGTTATTTGTATCTTATATTTTAGGGTCGTTTCATATGTAAAAGCATTTATCCCCTTCTTCAATACGGCATCTTTGAAAAAATTGGGTTAAGCGCGTCGTCACGCGTTGTAACGCGACGCGACTGTTGAATGTGACCACATCCACTCTAAACATGACCTCGACGAGCGAGATACCCCTGGTCAATGGCAGCAGTTCTCAAACACCCCAGGGTACCCAATCCACCATGCTACCACTACTCCTTCCAGAGGCTCTTGGCTTCGTCCCTCAACTCCTTCTCGACGATATAATCAACATTGCCAATGAAGCTGTAACAGTCGGTGTCAACGGAATGGAAACTTTCCTTCTCAAATGGGCAGAAGAGCGTACGAAGCGACTGGCAGACCAAAGCAAAGACAGTTCACAATCAGAAGAATGGGATAGCATTCAAGAGATCGAACAAGGACTTGTTGCATTCCAAACTTTGTTGAATTATCATACGGATATTGCACTCGATTTCTTCGAAGCTTGGTCTTTGAGAAATATATTTGCGATTCCGCCGAATTTGCCTATTGTTCTGCCACATCAGAAGGGATTGGATTTGACGGTGGATCCAGAGAAGGAGAAGAGGCTTATGAATGAACTCGATGAACTTAGGGAACAAATAATGGTGGTATGTTACTTGGTGGTTCGCCACCCTATTCATGCTGACACGTTTCATGGTAGCAACGATATCTCCAGCGACACGTCCAACGCGCTCTTTCGGTAGCACGCGCAAAGCGGCGGCGGGCCCAGGAAAACTATAACCATCTCAGCAATCTCCTCACACCATCTCACCTTACAACATTTAAACAATTGGCACCCCAATTTATGACAATGTACAAACAAATTGCAGAGCTACCTGCTGCTGTAAATCCTGAAGAAACGGCGGAAGAAGAGGCGAAGGCGTTGACACAGCTAAAGATGCAATTGACAGACCCCGGAAAGAGGATGTGGGAGACAAGTAAAGCGGGTTATGTGAACTGGGCCGTTGGTCAATTGAAATCAAGAATAAGTGATGCGAACAATGGTGGAGGATACGCAGAGGGATTAGGAAGCGTTTCAGAGTTGGAAAAGGTGGCCAGCAGTACGGCGAAGGTGGATGTGCTCAAAACAATGACAAAAACGTTCGGAGACGGGAAGTAGTTGGCGAGTACGCTGTTTAGAATGCTTCATATATCCTCAACCTGTTTTGCATACATCACTGCCCTAATGTACCATTAACAACCTGCTCGTATTTTTGTAGCAATATAACACCTATGAAACTAGTTGCCCTTGCCAGTTCTTCGGCTCCCAATAGCCGCAAGTGCGTTTTTACCAGTGAAAATCGTGGCCAAACTGAGTCCAGCTCCGTAAAACAGGACCTGACCAAGTTTCAGATCAACCCAATATGCAAACAAAAGTCCTTCGAAGGCGCCGAGAGTCGCAATGAATGGGAGGATGCTGGGAGAGAATATGTATGGAACACGAATGGAAACTTGCGACCACTGTAGGCGGGAATGATGAATACATATTGGTGGCAGCGAAAAAGCAACAAGAACTCACCAAGCCTAACAATACGACCCAAGGGGCCAACACTACGGCGGTGAAAACAGCCGAAATAGGCCTTGGTGGTAACTTCTGGTCTGGGCGGAAGGTATGATGGATTTCGGGTAATGGGTGGAAGGAGGCTTCGTCAGGATGAACTGGTGGCGCTTGCGAGGCGGGCAACAAGAGGTCTGGAAGTTTTACTGTAAGTGGGGAATGTGAAGGTGCTCCAATGATGAGCGACAGCTTCAACGGGGTGTCGGCTTTCGTTGGAGGTAGCGACAGTGGGGGCTTTGCCAAGTTCTATAGCATAGTGAGCAGTGAGTCGGCGATGTAGAAAGATGACCTGCGCACCAACTCAAACTTGGCCTTCCCGTTACTCGCCACGCGAACGGGTTGTAGACCCTCCTCTCCGGAAACCTCATCATAGAAACGAAGGAAAGTCTGGTGGGGTTGTACTCCCTGTCCTTCTTCCTTGTCAAAGACTTGGAATGTCAACTTGAGAGTATCAGATTTTCCAAGCTCAATTGGTTTGGCTGCGTGCGTAGTCGAGATCCTGGAGACATAGGCGTAAGTTCAGTACATGGAACCAAAAATGCTCACGAACGGTTCTGAGCGAACTTGTTCACCCTTGGCATCAGTGATTATAAAACGAGCGGATTGCAATGTCAGGATAGCCGCCCTCGCTGAGGCTGCAAGCAACAGCAACGAAAAGAGACAACGCATGGCCGTTGGTGGTGGGAGGTGAGAACGGAGCTAAGCGCGTTGGCCCAAAACGATTGACGTGTAGCTCTAATCTTGCGTGTGAACCCGTACGTGGTCCCAGAAACGCAATGCAACACCCAGATTCGAACTTGATGGTACCCGGCCAAAGTCAACAAGGGAGGAATGGCGAAACGGTCCAGTGAGCTGGAGGGTGGAAATGTGGCGGTCAGAAAATGTCAAAAAGATAGTCCCCACCGTGATTTGAACACGGGACCCTGCGATATTACGCGGCTGGTTGGCTCGCGCTGCAATCGCATGCTATAACCACTTAGCTATGGAGACTTGCTTACGGGCTTGCCCGTTCGTAACAAGACTCCTTCATGTGCCTGACCGCGACGCGTAATCCTCCAGACGCGTCACCTCTTCCTAATCGGTCGACGAGCACTCTCAACTTCAGCCATGCCCGACGTCGAAATGAAAGCCTCCAACGAGAAGGGGACGAAAGCAGAGGACACGAAGACCTCTGAGGAGGCCAAGCCTGCACCTCCTCCAAATCCTGTCGCTGAGATCAAGTCCAATCTTGGATTCATTGACCGCGGAGTCTCGACACTTGAACCTCGCTTCACTCACCGTGTTTTGCGTACATTGACGTCTTTGAGAAAGCGTATAGACGATACGACTTTGCATACCGTGATTGAAGAGGTATACCCCAAGGGTACGTTCAACGACTCATTGTGCGCACCAGGCCAACTTCGTGCAGATTCGTCGACCAAAGCCGCTCTCCTTTCATGGCTTCCTGCAAGTGCTTCTGCCCATTCTATGGAAGTGGACGCCACCACTAGCAATAGTCCTAAACCGCCAACGGTGGAACCTTGCCCGGAAGGCGAGGTGTACCTCCGACTCTTGATCCTTCACCAGCTCCTGACAAATGCTGCAAACTACACCAAGGCTGTAGATCTTTCACTCGAGACAATCGAGAAGATGAAAGTGTGGAATCGTAGGAGCATGGATCCTATTGCTGCAAAAGTATGGTATGCGGTGGAACGAGCGTACGAACTTAGTGGAAAATTAGCTGATGCCCGACCGTAAGCTCGTCTTCATATACCCCTGTAGAGATACTCAGACGAGTTTTAGGCTTTTTTTGGCTGCTCAGCGTACTGCTGCTTTACGACACGACGATGAAAGCCAAGCTTCATTGATCAACCGTCTCCTTCGAAGTTATGTATATTACAGCTTGTACGACCAAGCAGACAAGCTCGTCTCCAAAACCACTTTCCCTCCTTCTGCTGGGAATCCTCAGCTTGCCCGTTACCACTATTATCTCGGTCGTATCAAAGCTGTTCAGCTTAACTACTCAGAAGCACATACCAACCTCCAGCAAGCAATCCGTCGCGCGCCACCTCAAAAAGTAGCACCTGGCTTCTACCAGGCGGTGCACAAGTTCTTCATCGTCGTGGAACTCTTGATGGGTGACATCCCAGAACGGTCTTTATTCCGGCACCCTGTCTTGGAAAAGGCACTGAACGCATACTTTGCGATCGTCAAAGGTAAGAGCTTGGTTCTCCGTATTATACCTTCCGTTCATGCCTGAATGAGTAGCTGTTCGTACGGGATCCCTGTCTCAATTCCAAGCCACACTATCGAAGCACGCTGCCCAATTCGAAGCCGACAAGACCTACACTCTTATCGTCCGTCTTCGCCAAAACGTCATCAAAACGGGTATTCGTCGTCTGTCTCTCTCATACTCCCGGATATCCCTCCGCGAGATCTGCGTCAAACTCCACCTAGATTCTGAAGAAGATGCAGAATATATTGTAGGCAAAGCTATCCGTGATGGTGTCATTGAAGGGAAAATTGTTCACGAGAAAGGGTGGATGGAATGTGGTGGACAAAAGGGTGGGTATGGTCCTGAAGTTGGGGAAGTGTTTGCAAGGCGTATTGGCTATTGTCTGGATTTACACAACCAGAGTGTCAAGGTGACGTCTTTTGGTTTCCGATTTTGGTGGAAGTGTACAAGCTCATCTTTGATTTAGGCAATGCGCTACCCCGTGAATGCGCATAGGAAGGAGCTCGCCGCAGCTGAGGGTGCTCGGGAGCGTGAAAAAGAGCTTGCCAAAGAGATTCAAGAGGGTGACCTTGATGACGAAGACCTCGGAGGGGACTTCTAAATTGTCTGTACCCAACGGCGCGGGCAAGTAATCGTACACTTCCCATTTCTTTCGAATCAAGCCTAGCATATTAATTGCATAGAAGACATGCATGGGAATATTATACCGCTACTGTTACAAAGTACACGGACTCAAGAGCCGAACAACCCAAATGAAAGTATAAGTAGTGTCAATAACCAACAGGGAGCGTCTGGTGGCAAACTCTGGTTTCGTTATCCACTGTCCATCCGTCTAGAACGTGACTATCCAGATAGCCTATCGTACTTCTCTCAGCCTGTGAAGCCATCGGTCTGGGTGAAACCGATAGAGCCTTTTCTCTGAGGCTTAGTATGCTGGGAATAAGGGAATCTCGCGTCAATCGCGGGAGAGAACAAAGGAATTGGAAGAACTTACGTCCGACATGCCTGTCAAGGGTTGATATACTGTTATAGTGATGTTCGGAGATGAAAAGTGGATAAACTCACGATGAGACTTGGCACTATACAGGTAAAAACAAGGCCGACACATGAGCCGGTTCTGAGCAAGTATTCAACAAAAAGCAGGGTTGTCATATCAGATCGCTACGCACCTAAAATACAGCGTTCCCGCAACTGTGTTGGTGATAACAACATAGCCAAAAGCACATAGCCCTATAAAGCGCATCGCAGGTCAGTAAGACCCTTCGAAGAGTAGTCAACGCGGGACGAGCTTACCTTGCTTAACAAAAAAAGATGCCAGGGATCCTCCTTGATACACTCGGTAGGAATGCTGCAAAATAAACAGATGGATGTTGGTCCAATGAACTATGGGACAGGTGGGAGAGACGCACCACCAGGACGACAAGAAACGAGGCCAAATCCATTGATATTGTACATGCCTTGGATTAAGTGAGAAGATATTGAAATCAAGTATTAGACAGGACCGTACCAACAAAACCTAGTACAAGGACTTTGATGAGTTTTTGGAGGAGAAAACAGGAATGAAACTGCTTACTCCCAGACGTGTTCCAATTATATCAACAGCATAGTTTGGAAAACAACCTAATCCCCCATATGCTTCGAAAGTGGATTGATCGTGTATTGGGGTTGGAGTGCAGAAGACCCAAATTGTGACTGAAAGGAGTGTGATGTAAAGAACAAGAAGGACGGATAGGGCGCCCCGACTCTTCCCGCTGAATGCATAGGCTCTCAAGAGCATAACCCCTAGAAGCAGGTCATGAGCAAAGTTGAGAATGCTGGCGAAATGTGTTGTTACCTTCAGGGAGAAATTTCTATGCGTTGTCAGCTCATTAAATTTTTATGAATCTTGAAAGAGACGTACCATCGGAGTATTAAGAGCATGAATTCCTTGCCAGACGCGTACACATGTGACATACTGGTGGTCCAGCCCATAACCCCATAAAAGTCCAGGATAGAATAGGATGGGATAGAAACGGCACAAGAGATATGCGCCCTTGAGTGTAGACCATGGTGCTTTGTATACCTTGGGATAATTTCGTGCGCGTCAATGCCGGTTACCTTCTCTGCTATGACGAATAGAACATACAAACTCGTACTCTCTATCGCTCCTGGAGGCGTTGTTAATCCGGATGAGAAGGAGTTTATGCAAAGGATGCTTACACCAATAGCCAATCGTAAATTTGAAGCACATACGCTGCCAACAACCCCAAGCGGTACTCTTGTATGGCCAAGTCGAACATGAACGCAGGTGCCAATGGAGAATCGCCGAAATCCGCTGATCGGAGGGACATTTTATCTGTACCGCGAAACCAGCAGTATGCGGGAAAGAAAGGAAAAGATTTCTTTGAAGGTTTATTCCATGGTTGATTGACAAGTCACGCCCCACCAGGAAGCAAGCTTTCTCAGCTCAACAGCGCCGGAATATTATTGATTGGGTCGCCCCTGACAATCTCGAGCCAAGGCACAGTGATAGCGAAGACCAGGGTTGATCAGAAACGCGTCGTATCTCCATTCGGGGTTGAGTCGGTCGTGGTGTTGAGCTCCAACAACCGACAGATGTGGCTGCTGAAACGTAGACACCATCGATTGCTGTTGGTGATAAAACTCAGATCTTACAGCATATGAAGCGGATATCCGGGATTTGTCAAAATCTATACGAGCGAGGGCGGCGGCATGAAAACGACAACCTGTCGATTGGCATCATTTTCAAAATGTGACAAGCAATTAGAATCTCACTTCCAGAGGGAAATTGCATAGATCATAGATGAGTCGAGGACTATCCAAAATCGGCACACGCCGAGCGACCGGGATGACCACTGGATGGCCGCTCCGGCTGCACTGCTCTCGCGACGCGCGTTTGCAGCTGAATGGCGTGATGGATACTTCTGTCAAGTTCAGCAGGTTATGGCCGCTGGGTGTCGAAGACTGATTAAACTGCCCGCGTGGGAGTAGCTGACCCGAAAGCGAGCTGTACGATGATGAACATTACTCACATGTCTAATCCTTTACTCTGACCTGGAGTATCCCCGTCCTGGGCAAACTTCGTCCTTCACGGTCCAACTGCTACCCAATGCTGTCGGTAGTAGAATCGGACCATTGGGTTGTTTCAGGAGTACAAGGTCCCTTGGCCGTGCTGGACGAGTGTCATCCTGTGAAACGTCATTTCCGGTTTTGAATAGTTCATCATCCCGAGCGCTGATCTCAGCACAGGCTGCAGGTTTTGTCACGATCCTGGCAGCCGTGTTGAAACGCCCGCATTCGAGACAAATGCATGGAGTAGTTGAATAAAAGTCTGGTCTATGTACTTACGGTAGTTACCTGTCTGCCATGTGTTGCGCTCATTCGCACTGTATGGTAACCCGAGACCACCAACTTGAGTTGAGACTATCACGGTATCACGGTATGAACGTTGAGAGGCCGAGAGCTTTGGTGAGGGACGCGCTCCTGACGTAAGCTGTGACGGTTCAGCTCACCCTTCCGAGCTTGATTCCGAGCTTCAGCTTTGACTCCAATGTCATTTCTGGTTCGTCTTTTGCAAGGATTTCGCAGTCAAGTACGAGCACGATTGAAAACTCCATTGACACATCTGACAGAACTACTAGACCCGACTGGTAGGCCGTGACCTGGAAGGTACTGGAGCACTTCAAATTTTGTTTCCGGCTTTTGATTCCACATTCAGGAAATAAATTCTATGAAAGTCCAAATGCTTTAGGTGATGGAAAGTCGTCTTACTTTC